AAAGAAAAATGTCAGAAAATTGTCAATTTGCCTTTTTTGTTGTAAAGTACTGGATGACAATGCTCATCCCACTACTATAATACAATGCAACCTTTTCCCTCCTCAACTGAACCACTGGGAAGATGGCTGGTGACTGGATAACCACATCAGTTGAAATAAGCAGCATCACTCATCCTGATTTGTCGTCCACTGACCTTGGGGGTATTCTCATAAGCTTCCACTTTTTGGCTTCTTGGGAACCACAAAGACTGATGAATAATGATCAGTGCTATTGTATAGTGACTTGCATCTAAATCCCTTTGACTTGCATTAAGCAGGAGCATTTCTCATTGAACAGTTCAAATTGGAAGTAAAATTGTGAATGGCCGATGCTAAATGATATAGAGGTTAGAATCTTACAGGGATCTGAGCAACACGATCTACTACGATATCTTCGGCAGAATCAGGTAATAAGTAATTAATTATTACATAGAGAATCAAATCTGAACTGAGAATCTGGAAAATGGTAAGATTTGTTGGACAGGACAAGTATATTCTTCTGATTAGGTGTTGGTTAGCTCAGTTGGTTAGGTAGCTGGTTTGTGATGCAAAGGGATGTTAACTGGCTGAGATCACTCTGAAGGTCCCATCTTCTCAAACTTGCCTGTCGCCTTGTGGCGTGGTGACTCTCAGGTTAAACCCACCACCAGTCATTTCTCTCTAACAAGAGAGTGAGAGTGTGGTGACTTTGCCTATTCTTCCCATTGTTTATAGACTGGGAACACTATACTTTCTGGCTATTGAAAGGACTTGGGTCTAGTTCAGAATACTCAGAAGGCTCGAGGATGAATTTGTAATGGATATTTGGGAAGTTTTTAAGGTACAACACATTTCAAAACTAACCACAGTGGCGGGTACTACCCATTCAGTAATGTGTAAATAGACATACTTACTCAATGGTCACATAGGAAAGGACCCCCCACTGGGTATGAGTGATTATAACGTGATAGAATTTCATATTCTGTATGAAGGTGAGAAATTTGGATTTGAAACTAATAGCTTAAACTTAAATTAGGCAATTACAAAGGTATGAAGACAAGTTGGCTAAAATGGAATTGGAAAATAGATCAAAGGGTAAGAAACTGGAGAAGCAGTGGTAGATATTCAGGGAGATATTTCCTAACTGTCAAGGAAGATACATTTAATTGAGAATAAAAGACACTTCAAGATGACTGCACCATCCATGGATGACTAAGGAAGTTAAGGATGGTAGCAAATTAAAGGTAGATATTTACAAAGTTGAAAGAATAGTGGTAGGCCAGAAAAAAAGAAAACTAAAAAGGAATGGCTAAAACAATGGGAATATGACAGAAAATGAGCAAGAAATATAAAACAAACAGTAAATGCTTTTACAGATATATAGAGTCATAATCATAGAGATGAATAGCATGGAAACAAACTCTTTGGTCCAACTTGTCCATACTGAGCAGATATCCTAAATTAATCTAGTCTCACTTGTCAGCATTTGGCCCATATCCCTCTAAACCCTTCCTATGCACGTACCCATCCAGATGCCTTTTAAATGTTGTAATTGTACCAGCCTCCACCACTTCCTCTGGCAGCTCGTTCCATACATGCACCACCCTCCACATGAAAGAGTTGCCCTTTAGGTCCCTGTTAAATCTTTCCCCTCTCACATTAAACCTATGCCCTCCAGTTTTGGACTCTACTACCCTGGGGGAAAGACCTTGACTGTTCACCCTCTCCATGCCCCTTATGATCTTATAAACGTCTGTAAGGTCACCCCTCAGCCTCTGACGCATCAGGGAAACTAGCCCAAGCCTATTTAGCCTCTACCTATAGTGCAAACCCTCCAGCCCTGGCAACATCCTTGTAAATCTTTTCTGAACCCTTTCAAGTTTCACAACATCCTTTACATAGCAGGGAGACCAGAATTGAACCAACGTCCTGTACAGCCATAACATGACCTCCCAACTCCTATATTCAATGCATTGACCAATTAAGGCAAGTGTACCAAATGCCTTTCTCACTATGCTGTCTACCTGTGACTCCACTTTCAAGAAACTATGAACTTGCATTCCAAGGTCTCTTTAGTTCGTCAAAACTTCCCAAGACCTTACCATTAAATGTATACGTCCTACCCTGATTTGCCTTACCAAAATGCAGCACCTCACATTTATCTAGATCTAACTTCATCTGCCACTCCTCGGCCCATCTGATCAATGTCCTTTTATACTCTGAGCTAACCTACACCCCCATTTTGATATCACCTGCAAACTTACTAACCCAAACTCACATATTCACATCCAAATCATTGATATAAATGGCAAAATGCAGTGGACCCAGCACTAATCCTTGTGGCACACCACTGGTCTCAGGCCTCCAGTCTGAAAAGAGAAAGGAAAAGAACAGTTAAAGTGAGGCTTTGTCTTTTGGACAGCGAGACTGGGAATTAATAATGGGGAGAAAAGCAAATAGAAGATACTTAGATAGGAAATGCTTGCTCAATCTTCACAATGAAAGAGACTAAAAGCATCGCAGGGCTATAATCTTCCAAAAATTTCCTAGATTTTGTAAAGGTTCTTACAGATTAGAAAACCACAAATGAGACGCCACTATTCAAGAAAGGAGAGACGGAAAGCTAGAAAATATGTGGGTAATAGCAAGATATTTAGAAACTCATCGTACAATGTAAGAGTTTGAGTTATAAGGAGAAGGTGGGAAGGCTGAGACTTTTTTCACTGGAACGTAGGAGGTTGAGGGATGACCTTATAGAGGTTTATAACATCATGAGGGGTGTAGATAAAGTGAATGGCAGGTGTTTTTTCCATAGCGGGTAGTTTCAAGATTAGGGGGCATATTTTTAAGGTGTGAGAAGTAACATTTAAAAAAAGACATGGGGGCAATTTTTTAACACAGAGAGTGGTTTGTGTGTGGAATGAACTTCCAGAGGAAGTGGTGGATGCAGGTACAGTTACAAAAGCACATAAGAAATGTTTGGAAGGATATGGGCCAAGCAGACAGGTGGGACCAGTTTAGTTTGGGATCATGGTTGGCATGGACTAGCTGGACAGAAGGATCTGTTTCCGTGCTGTGTGACACTGACAAAGAGGCAGAGTCAAGATGGTTTTGGGCAAAGGAATCATGTTTGAAAAATTGTACCAGAAATAGTAGGATTTTCTGATGAAGAGTCTAGGCCCGAAACGTCAGCCTTCCTGCTCCTATGATGCTGCTTGGCCTGCTGTGTTCATCCAGCTCTACACCTTGTTATCTATGTTTGAAAAATGCTGTTCTTTAAGAATGTAAGATGCAAGATGAATAAAGGATGTAATGTATTTGGAAATCTAAAATGCTACTGTACAATGTAAGTGCTCATTGTTTGAGAGCTGATATATTAGCATGCACAGAGAGTGGCCTGACTAACAGGCAGTAGGGATTTGGGATAAATGAGTTATTTTTGGGTTGACACGCTATAACTAATGGAGTGCCACAGTGACTAGTGTTGGGACATAAACTATTCTCAATTTATGTTAATGACAATGATGAAGGGACCAATTGTTCTATAACCAAATTTGCTGATAGTTACAAAAGCAAGCTGTGAGGAGGGTACAAAGAGTTTGTGAAAGGACATAGATTATTTGAGTAAGGAGTAAAGAATTGGTAGATAGTGTATGATGTGGAAAAATGTGAGATTGCTCACTTTGGCAGGCTGAATAGAAAAGCAAAATATTATTCAAATAGATAGAGACTGCAGAATGTTGCAGTTTAGATGAATCTGGGTGTCCTTGTAAATGAATCATAAAAATTTAGCAAGCTGGCATTATAAATAATTAGGATGGTAAGTGGAATATGGGCTTTCATTGCAAGGGAATAGAGTATCAAATTAGATATGTCTTGCTACAACCATGCAAGGCATTTGTGAGACTGCAGATTGAGTACTGTGTACAATTTCACCCATCCTACTTAAGGAGTGATATGGCTGCATTGGAAGCAGTTCAGATAAGTTTTACGACTGATTCTTGCAATGAAGGAGCTATGAGGAAAGGTTGAGCAAGTTGGTTCTGTACTCATAGGAGAGGTGATCTTATTCAAACATATGAAATCCTGAAGTGGGTTAATAAGGTAAATGCTGAGAGGACATTTCTCTTTGTCGGAGAATCTAGCACTAGGGTCACATGTTAAAAATAAGAACTTTACAATTTAGTACAGTGCAGAGAAATATCATGTGCACAGAAGATCAGAAAGTGTCATCCAAAGAGAGCAGTGATAGCTAGGGTCATTGAACAGATTATTGATTGATGAGTTTAAGGTTATGAGTTAGGGTTATGGTGAGGAAAAGCAGGAAAGTGGAGTTGAAGTCACATTATCCATGATCTTATTGAATGGCATGCTTGATGGGCTGAATTGTCTCCTCTTGCTCCTATTTCCTCTGGATCTTATTACCTCTATTATTAGATATAAATACTAACTGGAATGCTTTTGACATATTGCACTGAGCCTGTTTTATATTAAAGCTGCTTTTTCCAGGTTCAGATCACTTGAAAAAATGAAATTAGGCCCATGCACTTCAATTTGACCTCTGAAGAAAATGTGTTCTCACTAAAAGAATTATAGGAAAAAGGGGTGTCTGTCTTCAGGATCTGTCACTAACATCCTGTTGTCATCGTGTGGTATCGTCTCCCCAGTCCCAGCCTACACAGCCATCCTCTTACCTTTTATAGTTGGTGGGTGCTAGCATTCACATCCCTGCAGGGCCTGTGTCAGTGTGTTTAGTGGCTGATATTTGTCACTCTCCTTTAAACTTAGTAAAACTGCTTTGTAAGTGTTGCCATGCAGTAAGATTTATTCGGAATTACAATACTTTGAAAATTCCCTCCTGACTTTGAACGTTGTCAGCTTTGCTTGTTCCATGTCTAACCAGCCTATTATTGATTCCCTCAATTCCGCCAATATTCTCCCAGCCTATGTTGGAGACTGACTCATCTGGCTTTATTTCACAGGCTCTGACTGCCCGCCCTGTAAGGGACCGGTCTTGACGGGCATGTCTAGACAGTAAACAGCAGGAGCCTTTAGATCATCCGGAGGGTGAAGCACTTCACAGAGAAGATTCATCCTGTTTTCAAAACATACTCACCTCCCATCGACCATCAACGGAGAGCAATCAAGAAAAGGAATCCTGGTTGTTTTGATTGAGTCCTCGCTGTATCCCCAGCAAGTCGAGGAGTTACTCATGGTGCAAGCAATCCATGCACAAATGTAGGGCATGGATCTAAACTAGGTAAGCTCCTCTTCAGAACTTTCACTTAACATACTTGTGGGATGTGACTGCTGCATGCGTGGCCACTATTTGTTGTTTGTCTCTAATTGCCCTTGAAAAGGTAATGGTGAGCTAGGTCTTGAACCTCTGCAGTCCTTATGGTGTAGGAAGGGAGTTCCAGGTTCTTGACACAGCAGCAGTGAGGGAGTGGTGATAGAATTCTAATACAGAATAGTGTGTGGCTTGCTGGGGATCTTTCAGGTGCTGGTGTTCCTAAGGATCCACAGTCCTTAATTGTCTATGTGTCAGAGATCCCGGGGTTAGAAGGAGCATTAGCTAATTGCTGCAGCGCATCTTGCGGATAAGAACATATCAGATAGGAGCAGGAGAAGGTCATTTGGCTCATTAAGTCTGCTCTGCCATTCAGTAGAATTATGGCAGTTCTGACTGTAACCTCAGCTCCACTTTCATGCTAACCTCTAATCCCCTTGACTGCTTTGATAGTCAAGAATCTAATTATCTCTGCTTTAAAAATATTCAACGATCCTGTCTGCACCCCTCACTAGAGAAGAGAGTTCCACAAACTAAATGAGAGCAAATAAACCTTTTCATTTAAGTTATTGCTGAATGGCCTGATCCCATTCCTATTTCTTATGTTCTCTTTTCAGATGGAAATGCTCACAATAAAGTTTAATTTTTTGAACCATGCTTCTTTGTAAATTAAAGCTGCTTTTTTTTCATTTTTGGATCACATGAGCAGTAAGGCTCATGCACCTAAATTTCGCCGTTGAAGAGCATTTCTAGAACAAATCCTTTCATTTTTCAACTGCATCCCCTCCCATAATGGGAAACATCCTCTCATCGTACATCCAAACACATTTTCTGAGCAACTTGTATGTTTCAACAAGATCACCCCCTCATTCTTCAAAACTCCAAGAGATACATGATCCACTATTACCCATAAAATAACTTCTTCATCCTGGGAATCGGTAGATTGAACCATCTCAGAGCTAATTCTATTGCAGTAATGTCCTTTCTCACATGAGGCGAACAACACTGCACATAGCTCTCTAGATGTGGTTTCACCAATATCCCGTACAACTATGGCAAAACATCTCTACTTTTACATCCCATTTTCCGCAACAAATTACAATATTGTATTGACTTTCCTAATCACTTGTTGTACCTGCATACTGACCTTTTGAGATTTACATACCAGGATACCCAGATCCTTCCATACAGCAGAGTTTTGCAATCTCTCTTCGTTTAAATAATGTGCCGCTTTCCCATTCCTGCTGCCAAAATGGACATATTCACTTTCTCACATTATAATCTGTCAACTCACTCATTTAATTTATCTATTTCATTCTGCAGGCACCTTAGGTCCTCTTCACAAGTTACTTTCTTACCTATCTTTGTGCTAATAGCAGAGTTAGCAATATTTTTGTCACTGTGCTTCAGATTGAATGTCTGTGATGGTGAATTGGATGCTGATCAAGCTGTCTTTCTATGTGGTGGTGTAGGGTTTCTTGAGTTTTATTGAGCGTACGTTCGTCTAGGCAAGTGGAGAGAATTGCATCATACTTTTGACTTATGCCTTGTAGATTGTGGATGGGCTTTGGAATGTCAGGAAATGAATTGATCACCATGAATCCCCAGCTCCTGACTTGCCCTTGCAGCCATGGTATTCATACAGTTGGTCGAGTACAATTTCTAATCAATGGTGATCTTTAGGATAGTAGCGGATACATAATGGTAGTGCTGTGGAATGTCAAGGGGTTAGATTTTCTCTTGGTGGTGGCATCCCATTGGAGGTGGCAGAAATGGTGGCTAATGATCATTTGGATGTGGATACTGGTGGGATGGTAGGTGGTGACCAGGGGGACCCTATTGCTGTTATGGAAGGGAAGAGAAGGGGTGAGGGCTGAAGTGCAGGAGATGGGTCAGACTTGGCTGAGAGCCCTGTGAACCATGGTGCTGGGAATCCTTGGTTGAGGAAGAAGGTAGATGTTAAGGAGACGCCTTTGTAGAAGCTGGCATCATCTGAAGAGTTGCAATAGAGATGGAGAATCTGAGAGAATGGAATAGAGTCTTTACAGGAAGCCGGGTGTGAGGATGTATATTCAAGGTAACTGTGATTAATTAATCAGATTAAGTGATTCAGCGAATATGACCAATTCATTAGCCATGATCCTACTGAATGGTGGAGCAGGTTCGAGGAGGCCAAATGACCTACTCATGTTCTTATTTCTGATGGTCTTATGGTCTAGATCAGAATGTTGTTGACTTGTCCGTAAGCCAGCAGTCCCAATGATAGCACATCTCAAGTGTGCAAATATTAAAGGGGGCTTTGCAGCGCCTATTGGGCAGGTCGTGTCTTTATTATTTCCACTCCTAAACTGATGTGGGTAGCCTGTCCAATTTATTCTTATTTGAGTTTTCTGTCATGGTTTGATGTAACTGAGTGACTGCTGGGCCATTCAGTTAAGCACATTGCTATGGGTCTAAATTAGTGTAAAAAGGGTCTGTGGCACAGTGGTAGTCTCCCTGCTTTTGGTATGGTAAGGTTTGGGTTGAAGTCTCACCTGCTCCAAAGGTATATCCTTAACATCTGTGAATAGGTAAAATATCAGGTGAACTGGATAAGGTTGGCTAATTTGCCAGCCTATTGGGCATTAGTGTACCTGATGTGTTCCTACAAACTCTGGTTATGTCATGTCTACCACTACTGAGAAGAGCATTTTAGCCCAGATTTAGTCATTAGGTGAATTGAAATTCCACCAACTCATGTGATACTATTTGAACTCTTGTCTCAGAACTTACATCCGGGCCTCTGAAATGTTAGTCTATTAATGTTTCTGTTGGGCTATCATTCCCATGTCACATTGCATAGTGCATTTACCCACTAAAGCCTGTGGATGTTATTATTCATTTACATCTACACTTTTTTTGAAAAAAAGCACCATGATCTTTGACACCTGAACAGCTGCATATCCTTGCCATGGACCTGATTACACTTACTTCAGAATTACATGATTTGTTAGGCCAGTGGGCCAGATTGTCTGAATTTGTTAGCATCATTAACAGGCATTTTAATTCATTTTAATTTGACAGCATTATGTACAATGCAAGAAGCAGAACAACGTGAAGTCAAATGGAAGTACATTCCTGTAGATGTTGAAAATATGAACAGCAAACCATTGGATTCCAGTCAATATATTATCAACGTCAACTTACTGAAGAACAGCCAAAGCATCTTAATTCAGCGTCTTGAAGGCTTTAGATCCAGTAACAGCAAATTCTGAATTCTGATGTTATGTACATTTATGTTGAATAATGTGATTTTAGCCTATGTGAAATGTAATTGCTTGCTTATAAGTTGGTACTCTGAAAATACATTTTGGATGATTAACATGATTGTTGGTCATTTGTGAAAATTCTTAAAATGCAAACGTAGGAGAGAAAAATGCCTGGCATTTTAGCTTTATCTCCTCCTTGACCCTTATGCTACTCACCCATCATTTATGGACATTTTCCAACATATGCTTCATGAGATTTATTGGTTTGTTTGAGCTGTGTGACACAGCTTGATAACCCTCCGGAATCAATTCAAAGTTGCTTTCCTATCAGTTGTGCTTGAAAACAGCCCTAGAGATTGTGAACCAAAGTTTGCATATCCACCTTTACTAGGAGAGAATAAAAGAGACTTGCGTTTTCATTTATTTACATTTATCCTACTGCCGTAATGCAGAAACCCGGCAATCAAATGTGCATGAAGCAAACTTCCACAAACAGCAATGTGATCTGACTGAGAAATAAGTTTTTTCCGTGCCCTTCCCTTACATTCTTCTCTGAAGTAGTGCCATAGTATTTTTTTAGATCCTCCTGTGTTGGTAGGTATAGCCTTGGATTAACATATGGACCAAAAGACAGTATTGCCTGTAGTCCAATACTCCCTCAGTACTAATACCAAAGCAAAATACAATGAATGCTGGTAACTTGATACAAAAACATGCTGGAAGTACACAGACAGCATCTGTGGAGAGAAATAGTGTTGACACTTCAGAGCATGGCTATTTCCTTCATACTGTCAACTTGATTTTTATGCTGGAGAACCTTGTAACTCAGAGGCAAGTGTGATAACAACCAAGCCACAATTGGTGCATTGAATGTTACCAGAAATAAGAGACTTCAATTATGTAGAGACACTAGACAAGGTGGGGGGATTGTTCTCCTAAGAGCAGTGTATTTTCAGGGTGATTTAATAGAGGTGTTCACGTAGTGAGATATATGTTTCTACTGATATGAGATTTGCTAATCAGAAGACAAAATTTTAAATTAATTAGCAAAAGAAGTAAAGGAGAGATTAGGAGTTTTTTTGTGTAACAAGTTGTAATGCTCTGTAGTGCACTGTCTAGAAGAATAATGGAAGCATATTCAATGGTAACTGTCAAAAGGGATTTGGATATACACTTGGAGGGCCAAAATTTGCAAGACTTTGGGAAGAGTATCAGAAAGGAATAACTTACACAGCTCTTTCAAAGAGCCAAATGAAAGATGTTTGATGTAAGTTTCTGTTCAGTTCTCTTTCTCACCATATCCTGAGGGACCTCTGGTTGATATTTTCCTGCACTTTCTCCCTATGATGTAGGGTTCATCTTACTTCAAAAGCCATTGCACCACAGATCAACTGATTCAGCTAAGTCAAGGATCAAACCTCGAGATATTGCTATGTGGCTCACTGTCACAATTTTGAATAAGCGCAAGGCAGTTTTCTCTGGTGTCTAAAAAAATGTACGTCCTTCAGCCAACATCAAACACCACACTGCTATGCCTTTATCATCCAAACTGAACTAAAAGAGGATCCTGTAAGTGGTGTGATATTTGGTAACTGTGTATAGGAATCTGTGTAAACAGATGATCTGCTAATTATCACATTGCTGTTTGTGAAAGTTAGCTGTCCTTTAATTGGCTCCAACATTTCATATATTACAATGTGACTACACTTCCAAAGTATGCCATTGATTGTAAGGTGTTTTGTAATATCCTGAATGGGGTTTCTCCTATAGATCTGACAATATTCCAATTGCCGAGTGCTTTATGATCTCTCAGTTTATTTGGTGATATGCTTTTATGTACAGACCAGTGTCATTGGACTAATAATCTTGAGAATTTGAGTTAAGTTCCACCGTGGCATTTTGAGAATTTGAATTTAAATAAAAACAAATTTGCAGATAAAAAAGAACTGCTCCCAAAAAAAACATAGTGCTGTCAGATTGATTATTCCCTCAAGGGGAGATGCTGGTAATATCATTAGATTAAAGAGCCAACATTCTAGGTTGATGCTGTTGGGGGTGGGAGGGGATTGGGGTGGGGGTGTGGTGGTGGGGGGAAGGTGTCACCAGTTCAAAGTATCATTTAATAAAGATCTGGCATCGAAAGCTACCCTCCATAATGATGATCATCAAACTATCGCTGGTTGTTGTTAAAGACTTAACTGGTTCACTAATGTGCTGTTAGCAAAGGAAATGTGCTGTCCTTGCCAGTTTGGTAGGTGTGAATCCAAGCTCGTAATGACAAAGTGGTTGACTTTTATTTGCCCTTTGAAACAGCAAACCACTCAGTTCTCAGAGCAACAAATGCTGATCTTGCCTGTGATGTTGCCATCCTGTAAAAGAATGAAGACTTAGCTGACTTCTGAAATCACTGAGGGCAACTAGATTGTGGCGATAAACCTCATTCTTGCCAGCAATGATTATGTTCCTAGAATGAGTCTGAAAAGAGATAAAATTAGAGAAGTTAAAAATGAATCTTAGTAAAATATCTCCAATGTTAGTCTTTAATGCTGTTTCCTGTACGCTGTAACAGTAACACACGTTCTCCTGTGTTCCTGCCTTGCACTGTATTAAATCGCCCATCACTTATACATCAAGATGTCATCCCTTTGGGTTTAATTACTACGCTATTGTTTCCCATGGCGTTCCTGAATGAAGCACAGGAGGTAACTGGTATGAACCTGTGCCAAAAATTTAAACTTCACTTTTGATAGCAGTGAGTACTAACAGAGATCCTCCCCCCGTGGTCCTTTTTGTCAATGTCTATTTAAGAAATTGAACTTTCTGTAAATAATTCTCTTTCTCTCCAACTTGATGTTTTGTTACAACATACTTAATTGAGCAAAAGTGTACCTTGAGACATCCTTAGGCATTGATGTATATTAATGCATGTTTTCTTTTTCTATTTGATTTTGCCTGCTTTCTTCCCTTTGTGCCTTTCCCCCACTTTCAGGTCAGGAATACCATAGGGAGTGCTGGCTGTTTTTGAGCCATGCAGGAGCCTTGAAGCCTACAACGGGTTGGCCTAATAAGCAAAGTAATCAAAAGGATGAGCACTGATGGAGAATCATGTCTGGGGATATCCTTGAGTCTGTAGTCCTCTTGTCACTGACTGAACCATTCTCCCAGACCTGCCACTGTGAGGTTGCCAATTACAAAAGGTTGCCCTAACAGCTGCAAAATTCTGCTGGCACACTAAAATAGCACTTAATAGACCATGTGCAAATTGATCCAGCAGCAGTCCAAGCTGGAGAGTTGTGGCATGGTGGCTCAGTGGTTAGCATTACTGCCTCATAGTGCTAGGGGCCTGGGTTCAATTCCAGCCTTGGGTGACTGTCTGTGTGGAGTATGCATGTTCTCCCTGTGTCTGCGTGGGTTTCCTCCGGTTTCTCTCTCGAGTCCAGAGATGTGTGAGTTAGGTGGATTGGCCATGCTAAATTGCCCATAGTGTCCAGGGATGTGCAGGCCAGGTGGATTAGCCATGGTAAATGTGGCACTACAGGAATGGGGGGTGTGTTGGGGCTGGGTCAGGGTAGGATGATTTTCGGAGGGTCAGGGTGGACTCAATGTGCTGAATGGCCTCTTTCTGCACTGTAGGGATTCCATGATTGAAGTTGCAGCTCCATGCCATATTTCTGCTGGACCCAACTCCTGGGGGCTAATTAAATTTAGCCCATTGTCGTTTGTTGAAGTTAACATACTTACCACAGTTCATTGAAGGAGCAGTAGGAATGATAAGACTGACTCTTTTCATGTTCTCACCATATAATCCAACCCTACTAACACTTTGTACATTGCTTGTAAGCCAGCCACAAAAAAGGATGCCCGTGGGAGAAAGAAAATCCTCATGGAGCAGAACATTGAAGTGTTTTAACAATGATTTAGATACTTGAACCACACTTTGGATAAACGGGGAGGATGTGGCAATACAGTAATGTCACTAAACAGGAAATCCAGACAATTTGGCTAATACTTTGTGGATATGAGTTCAAATCCAACCACAAGAGATGGTGAAATCTAAATTCAATAAATTAATCTTATTGTGACCTTGAAGCCATTGTCAATCGTTGTTGTCATTAATGTTGCTTAGGGCTAGAAAATCTGCCATCTGTATCTGGCCTTGCCTAAATGTGACTTCAGAGCCACAGCAATATGGTTAACACAACTGCTCTCTGGGCAATTAGGGATGGGTTATGAATGCTGGCCTGTCACCCACATCCCCTGACTGAATTACAAAAAAACATCTGGAGAAAAGCCATATTGCACTTGAAGCATTAGCTTTATTTCTTTTTCTGTAGATGCTGTCGGAGTTTCTCCAACCATGTTTTACTTTTATAATACCACACATCATTCTATCGACTTAATAAAGTCTGGGGGCTTGTGCCAAGAATTGGAGAGCTGCCCCACAGACTAGTCAAGCAATGGTGTTATATAGCCATATTCAGAGAATTATATCTTACAGAAAATGTCCCACCATCAGTGTCTTTGGGTATTTGCTATCCCACTAGCACCGTGATATACACTGAGGAAGGGGTTGCCCTGAGACTCCCTAACATTGACTCTGGATCCAATGAAGTCTCATGGCATCAGGACAAACATGGATGCTTCTGCTGATGACCACATACTGCTCCCTCTCTCAGCTAATGGATCAGTGCTCCTCCACACTGACTGATAAAGGCAGAGAATATACTCAGGGGAATCCAATACCCATCACCAAGAGTGACTTAACAGCAACACGAATGACTGAGTTGGTCAAGTCATAAAGGATATAGTTGCTAGACGCTGCCTATGATAGTTGGTGATGGAAATATCAAGAGACGAAAACATACTTAACCATCTCCTCACCAATCCATCTGTCACAGATGCATCTGTCCAAGACATTGTTGGTAGGAGGAAGCACTACACAGTCTTTGAGGAGATGAAGGCCTGCTTTCACTTTGAGGATATCCTCCTCTGTCAGGTTGGGTGGCATGCTGAATGGGATGTGTTTTGAACAGATCTAGCAAATCAAAACTGGGCACTCATGTACTGCTTTGGATCACCAGCAGAGCAAGATTGTATTCAACCAAAATCTATGACCTTGTGGTTTGGCATATTTCCATTCTACCATTTCCACCAAGCCATGGGATCAACCCTGGTTCAATGAAGAATGCAGGTGAGCTTGCTATGAGTAGCACCAGGCATACCTAAAAGTTAGGTGACAATCTACTGAAGCTGTAACCTAGGACCACTTGTGTGCCAAGTAGCATAAGCAGCATGTGATAGAGAGATCCAAGTGACCTCACAACCAATGGATCAGATCTAAGCCGTAAAAAGTCGAGAAGGGTCAGAGATAATTAAAAAAACAGGAGAAGGATGCTCCATAGATATTCCCATTCTAAGTGATGGGGGAGCCCAGGATATCTATTTTTTTCTGCATATAAATTTGTATAAAAGACAAAACTGAAGCATTCGCAAGCATCTTCAGGCATAAGGGCTGAATAGATGATCCATATTTGAAGAGAAACAGATTAGTGGCGACAAAAGTAGGTCCCTTACAAACAGAAATAGGGGAAGCTATAATGGGGAACAAAGAGATAGTAGACCAATGATGTAGATATTTTGGTTCTGCCTTCACAAAGGAGGACACAAATAATATTCCAAAAATATTCAGGAATATAGGTGCTATTTTCCAATTTATCCATCGTATACGTTCCAAAGTTGGTTCATAAAAATCACTTTGAGAAATATGCATTTCGATGTCCATTTCCACAAATGCTGAAAATTTAATCTCAAATAATTGCAGATAAGATAGCAACATGGGGCAGATAATCTCCCTGAGCCAATTATCCTTTTGTTTAAGTTCAACATTAACTTGTTACGATCAGGTTCCAGATCTGTCCACCAGATGAAGTTGTGATCAGTTTGGCCTCTTTGTTTGAGCTGTAAAATTAAGAGAAGTTTACAAGTATTGAATTGTAAGTGAAACGCTGATTATAGTTGTACACTATTTAGAAGTTTCTATTTTAAAGAGGAATGTTTCTGTTACTTTTGATTAGAATAAGGAAAGGTGACATGCTGTCAGGATTTGAACCCTGACCTACGAGGGGATTCTCAGCTGCAGAGCATTGGAAACTGTAACATACTTCCACCAGCTGCTTAAATGGCTAATCATACAGTTTCTAATTCAAAAATGCTCTCAAGGCTTGAAACAGAGAGGCCTTTACAGATGCAATCAATACATCTTGCTTTCATTTGGCCTTCTGAATCGCATTACTGTGATATTGGTACTCAAATGACAATCTGGTCAGAGTTGGGGTTAGTGTGACTTTAACATCTGTAACTGATTGCACAAACTTGAAAATGAATTTTTAATTAGCTTCAGTGTTCCTGGTTTAGAGAGAGAAGAACACAGAATACCTGCTCTGACATTGAGCACATGACTTCTACCGTCTGTTGCATCAAACGAGACACGCTGGGATGCCTGTTGCAGTTGAATAGCCAGCCAACATGCGTGGTCTGACTCCCACGAAGATTGCTAATATTTACAGATTGCTGTGCTGCATGAGGCACTGTCAGAAAAAAATATTTACTAGCTAGGAGGAGTGAAGACCCACATTCTCCAATGGGCAATGGTCCTTTCTGCAGCATAGATAAGAGTTGCACACTCAGACACTGCAGAATCTCTGATGCAGCAGACTCCAAAGGCATTCCCCGGGAAATTGAAGATTGTGCTGGGAATTCCCCTATGCCTGGAACCCACTTTGAAGTACCCATTCAAATAGGAGAATTCAGAGAGATACACTGCAAACTGACCCTCCAACTACACCTCTCCATGATCACTTCCATTCTCTGAATACTGACCTGAC